GTGCAGGGACCTGACTGGACAGGGGTAGACGTAACCATTGTTTAGGTTGTCCGAGACGACCTACTTTCATTTTGGACAACCAGATCCTGTCTCCTGGTTGGTGGACAACCAAGAGAAAAAGACCTTGATTAAAGTTCTCTGCTGCGGGTGTCCATCATTTGTTAAAATGAAAGGGAGAAAAAACTTGATAAAACCGAACAGAACACTAAACTGTAACTTTTAATAAGGTCATGTACACAGGATACTCCTATTTAAGTGAAAATGTTTGACCTATGAGCTGAAAGGAGTTTATGAATGTTAGGTAACTCTAGATTTTATTAGCAACATTTTTGCTGCTTTATCCCTGAGCCTTAAATACTGTATTTCAAAGAAGTGAATGAGGAAGTTTTATTCATGCAGATCCTGTCAGCCTGGCTGACTGAGAACAATTGTATAATAAACTTTGTCAGCAGAACAATATACTGTACTTGTTAAATTACATTTTTCTTGAGATTTTTTTGGACAACCAAAATATTTTGAGGACAACCAGGTTTTGTCAACAGGTTGTCTGCTGGACAATAAAAGCTATTTAAATGTAGCGAGCAGAGCATGCCAAGTTACAAGAACTTTGAGGTGCATGACCAGGCATCACAGCATCGTGCAGGGGGCAGAGACGGCACGATTGCATCAGTGCTGGCGTGCACACCCACACACCGTGCCCAGTGGATCAACTATAAACCTGGCTTTAGGTCTGTGGGAGGAAACCGGAGTATTTGGAGAAAACCTATGCATGCATGGAGAGATCATGCACACTCTCCCCAAAAAGGTCCCTGGCCGGGATTTGATCTGGCAACCTGTTCACTGAGAGGCAACAGCTCTGTGCCACCATGCAGCCTGCTGAAAAAAACATAATGCAAAACTGAGGCTGCATCAAAACACTTTCATCTACCTGCTGCTTTTAATGTGTTAATAATTGTAAAATGCAACAGTAATAATCATGTATTGAGGGGGCTACGGGAAAAAAGCATTTGCATGACAAATAAAATGATTGAGACTATTTGTTTTAAGAGATTTAAAGAATTTGCTTGGATACTGGCTGCATTCCAATTTTCATTAGTAAGTCAGGCCTGCTGAAAACCTACAACAGGTAAGATATTAATTGTTCATATGTTTTACAAAAAAGGTGAAAGTATTTCTTTGATCTCAAGTCCCACAATTTTATCCAGGTACCCCAAATACAATAAATAAACATTATGTTGAAGCAAATATCCACATTTACAACATGATTTGATTAATTAGATGTTTCTGGTCCATTTAGCTTTATTAAGCTTCTGTTTATTGTAGCTGCATGAAGTGAAGCTGCTGTGTWGTTATCTTGAATTTTATGGTCTATGTTGTGTGTAACTTATCTTACAGTTATCTCGCGTTCAGTAATAAAGTTAGTGAGAAAATGCTTTCATTGAGCTTAGATAATTATCTTTTTAGAGATTTTTGGTGAACTTTTGTTCACAGATGAGTAACTTGAAATGTACAGACCACAAACTGAAGTGGGAGTTGTGCTCATAATGGTGTTTATTATCTTGTAGGGGGGGGTTATTAATATAAATAAACTTTTTTCTCATTCATTGGGATGTGTGAGGGAATTCTTGTAGTCCCGCTGTTCAGGCGTTTGTTTGACCGCTGCAGCAAGAGGAACCAACCCCTACCAGACGAGGGCGGAGTTAATGAGAGAAGAAGAAGAAGAAGAAAAAAAAGAAATTTCCTGGTGACCTACGACAACACAGGAAGGTAAAGTTGGCTTCGGTTAAATGTATTGTTTCAGGTCTGAGAGTACCGAACAAAGCAGGTGAACTGCCCACAGTCTTAACAGGTGCTGTAACAAACCGTCTGCCTCCACGATTAACGCAGCTCTGAACTAACAACTACAGCTGGACAACCTGTGGATGCTAGCAGCAAGCCTGCTAACTCTGTGTCCATCACCACACACTAACATGAAGTCTGGCAGCACGGCGGGTGCTGTGCGAATAGGACTCGAGAGGAAATCGCATATTTAATTTAAAGTGTTTGTTTACTGGAGTTGTTTGTTTTAAGGTTAGCGGTTAGCGGATGAAACCTGCGGCTAGTTAGGTTAGCTGAGTGGAGAGTAGAAGGGAGCGCGTGTTTTCCTCACCCAGAACAATTTAGACGGGCGGAGTCATTTCCGACAAACTAGGACAAAAATCCTAATGACATATTCAGCTGTAATATGGAAGGAGTAATTTAGGTTATTTTCTATAGTTATTAGATTAGATAGACCTTTATTGTCATTGTACAGAGCACAATGAGATTGCCGTTCAGAATATTAATATTAATATCTAAAAGTAACAAATCAGTGTTTAATTGTAAGCAATTTCTAATTCATTTTAAGTAMAATAATAATAATTATTATTAGAGTTAGAGTAACTTATTGTAGCTTTGAATGTCTAATTTCAGATTATTCAAACAAAAATGCATATGTACATTTTTCATGTAGTGTTAGATCCTTACATTTAGGTAGAGACTAATAACAAACATACGTTTGTAAGACAACTAAGACAGCTAAATAGAGATCATTGCTATTTAAAACAGATATAAGTCACAGTACACATGCATGGTATTTCTTATTATGTTTCACAGATGTTCTAAAAGTCACTAGTGAATAAAATGTATTTCTGTAATATAGAGCATGAGGAGAGAGGACATTCAGTGAGGTTATTATTCATAAGTATTGCTAATTCGAAAAGACAAATTGCGAGTAATAATGGTTTTGTCCATGKGTTCAGTGGACATTTTCAAATCTCTGCAGTGGTGGGCACAGTGCTACTAAAGCACTAATAGGGGAACTAATTTCCTGATTAGTGCTTTAGGGCTTTTGCTAATTCAAAAATTTATTAGGGGATTAGCACTTTCTAAATAGGCTAAATTTAGAAGCACTAACTGAGGTCTATAAAATTTATTGATCATCATTATTGTTCACAGCTGAGGGTGAAAGCTGTCACTCAGTTTGTTCATATGTGTGCCACTGATCCACTATGTGATAATATATGAACCCAAACACAGCTGAGGGATGTCAATGATAAGTCTTCAGAGAGCAACATGACAACATGTGACTCGTTGTCTGTTGAAAAATGTTCATGGGTTGTTTGGGTTATTTTAGTGCTTTAGAATTAGCTTTTGCTAAATTTTCAATGCATTAGTGCTTTACAATTAGGGGACCTAAATATTTGTTAGTGCTTTACAGGGATGCACCGATATGAAAATTTCAGCCGATATTGATATCCGATATAATTATTGCTGTTATGGCCATCGACCGATAACCGATATTTACCGATATTACACAAACACACAAATTTTATTATACAAATACGCACAAACACATTTGGGTCTTTTTTTGATACTGTAAATAAACGATCAGACCTCTGACATGACTCCCTACTTCAGTTATTCCTGGCTGTGCAGCGTCAGAAATCACTTTCATGATCAAACAGATGCCGCTCAACCAACCAGCTCCCCTCCCAAAACAGAAACTAAAGCTAAAAAGTGGGAAGTCAATATTGGACGTTAATATCGGCCCAGTTTTACATATCCGACAGATACCGGTATTTGAAAAAATGATCAGTATCGGCCGATACCGATTGTAGGAGCCAAATATCTTGTTTTTATCATTTATCACCACTARGGGTTTGTATTTCTGTTTGTTTACTAATTGACAGGTGAGGGATGGGGCTATTTAAGGTTAAGTGTGATTCTGTTCAGGTGCTGTGACAAGGAGGGGCAAACAGTTTTCTACTGCGCTTAGTCTGGAGCTCAAAGAAATCATGTGGATGCTTTCAAACTGGATGTAAAGAAGAATAAACAATTTGTAACATAATGTGGCAACAAAGATCGGCATGGTGAGCTTTATTGAGCGCATGTAAAAACTAAGTCTACCAGAACAGTCTGCAACCATTAGCGCTACATACAGGATTTAGCTGCTACACTGATATCAATACCGATATATCGTGCATCCCAAGTGCTTTAGGGCAAGTGGAACTAATTTTTAGATTAGTGCTGCCCACCACTGAATCTCTGTAATTGATCATCACATGTGCCTCTACAATTAATTCAATTTTGGTGTCAGTCAACCCAGTTCAGCTCGGTCTTCACAACTAAAGCAGCCCTAGCTAAAACAAAAACAGCCATAACTCAGTCAGTTTTATGAATATTGAGCTAAAATTTGGTGTGGTCAGAGCTGAGAGTCATCGCCGATGCTACAGTTTTGCACAAGGTYTTTGCATAAAGATTTAATGATGCTGATCAGTTTTTGGAGTCTGTCCATTTCAGGGTGGCTGCCACAGCAAATTCTCCTCAGCCAACACTGTGTTTGTAGCTCAGTCATCCCTACCCTAACACACACTTCATATCTTACACACTGAGAGAGATGTTGCGATACTGCATGAGAATGTGCGAGATTGTTATTTCTCTCTTTTAAATGAAATGGTTAGAACTGTGATTTGTCAACATTCTAATCATAGTTTAAAATTCAAGCATGACTGGCGGTGGATATTATGCATTCCTTCAAGGAATGCTTGACCTTTAATTTAAATGGGTTATTGTTTGGGGAACTTCTTTCCCATCCTAATGTGCCATAACCCTAACAGTGGCAGGGAAAAAAACACAAGTTCTGGTTATGGCTGGGCAAAATGCCTGAAAAATGTATCACAATGTAATCGTTTCAAATCAGTCACTAACAATAATTATTGATTAGTTGTTTTTTTTTTTTGTCTATTTGAAATGAGGACCAGGAGAGAAAAACCTGAGTAATCCTGCAAAACTGGTGACGTGACATTTCCTCTTCTATCCTTAAAGTGTATCTTACCCCCTTGTGAAAAGATAACTCCGCCCCAAGGTGAAATTTGAAAAATGCATCAAAGTGGGTAGGGGAGGGGGTTAGAGAGCGGAGGTGTGGCCAGGACGAGAGAACGTGACAGCTAGCATTAGCATAATTGATGCTACATGGAGAGTGACCACAGCGATGCAGATAGTTACATCTCTGAACGGTCTGAGGTGGAGGATTTTTCACCCCCCTCCTCACCAGAGGCAGAGAGAGACTGGATCAAGTCAGCTCAGTCTGGGACTGACTCGTGTTGGCTCCGTGGATCAGGACCCGGCGCACTTTACCGCAGCCTCGGCTGAGCTCTGTCCGCCTCACACCACACCAGCCATGGGCAGAGGAGGTGGAGCACTCCGACAGCCTGACATAAAAAAAATAAAAGCATACAGCTGCAGC